CGGGATAGTTCTAGAAACAAGAGAGCGTGAGAATTGTCACGTGATCTCGATGACGCAACAATACTATATCTACGATCAACGAGAGTCCAATTTTCTGAATGTGTATCGAAGTACGGTAGTAACAGTATTAATTTTAATCTTGTTAAATGGACTTTTAGTTGAAAGATTGTATTCTTCTGAATTTTACCAGTGATTATTTAGTTCGTGAAACATGAAATAAATCGTTGTATTTGATTGCATCTAGATGACACAACCGTCGCTGCCGAGCGTAGTTTTGGAAGGTAAGCGACACCAAAATCATTTATGCGGTAGGTGAAAGCAGCTGAATAAACTGTTAGAGTTCTTGACGGAAGGTAATGGATGTATAAGTACATTTCAATATTTGTACGTAAAATAACACAGATGTTGAAAACATTGCATGGTGTCTTTCATAGATGTCTTATACAAAGTAAAGGAAACCAACAACTACACACATATAATCGTAATAACTAATAAGACAAGAAGGAAATAATAATAAACCAATGAGAGCATAGAGGCAAAGGATTTGATCTCGACGTCAATAATTTATGAATATGAAGTAATTGTGTGAATAATGTGGAAACTATTATTGGAAAATACTGTGCATCTGTGATTTTTATTAATGCTGAGATACTCATCACTTGTCCACGCCAGAGCATGTGAGCAAGAAATTGGTGGTTATACTTCATAATCATTTGGGTTTACATTTATATATGTGTGTGTGTGTGTGTGTGTGTTAATTTTCTTATTTTTGTGTATTCTTTATTATTAACAAAATTTTTTTTTATCATGTTTGTCATTATTTTTTGTGTTTGACTATATATCTAGATAGATACTAGTTTTTTAGTTGGTTTGGTTGGGAGCTCTAAATTACCGGTAAGCTTAAAGTTTAAATGTTATCACTGTTTTAGGTTTTTTTTTCAGCATATTTGTCTTTTCATTTACATTTTTTAAATTAGTTTTGTTATGTTAGTCAGCCTTCTCTTAAAGTGGCCTGCGATG